GCAGGTTTGAACGTCTGTAACGAAGGTTGCGAGCTTTTGATTGCGATGTAAACGGTGCGTCCTCCTCCGCAGGTATGAAACGGAAACGAGGCTTGCAGCGGGCTGTTAGGAGGATCATGGGTGGTTTTACTCGAAGACGACCGCTTCGCTCCGCCTGCCAACGCCCGTCGGATACAAGAATCGATCAGAGCCCTCCACGTCATGCTGCGCCCGTGCTGCGCTTACTCCAGAACCTGACGGACCGCAACCAGATCCCTGGCCCGGCTGCAGGAAAGGTGGTGACCAGGAGCGGCCTGTCGGTGTCGACGACGGGGTGGAGGCCGTCATCTTCAGCCAGGGAGACCTGAAACAGTGAGGGGGGGAGAGTCCGGCGCTCCGGGGATCGCGGGCGCCGCGTCTCGCTGCTTCCTGCTCCTTTGCTGTTTCCCAGGAAGTTGAACAACGCTGCAGTCCACCAAACCCGGCTTCGGCTACATCAACAGCGAGAACGCTTCCGAGGGTCGACGAGCCCACCCCCTGCTGGCAACAGCATGCTGGGCACACTGCGTGGAGGGAACACTATCGACCGCCAGGCTTACCAGGTGGTGGGAGAACCCTGTGGGCGCCTCGGGCTACTCTCCCCAGAGGACATTCATCGGGAACATCTTCCAGGGTCTCGCAAGACGTTCCAGATGGCGATACCTCAAAACTGGGAGTTCCATCAAGGTGAGGAGACAAGTACGTCAATCGTGAGCAGCTCTGATCCCACAGGTTTCAGGGCGCAGCCTGTATTCCCAGATACTTTCGGTAAATCGAGTCATCCGTCCATCGAGGAACTCGGATGAACATAACTATTCTCACTTCACGTATTATTAATATACAACAGAGGAAAGCATACTAATATAACAATTTGTTTCCTTTTTTAAGAAAACGGACATTTTATTTTTTTTATTAACATATTATACGCCAAAGCAGTAAAACCGTCAAAAATGTCACAAATATACAATAAATAAAATGACTGTCGACTTGCAGTCAGCACCAGCTCCATCTTTAATGTAAAGCACCCGTGTTGTCTTTAATGTTTAATTTATCCCACATCTCCTGTCTCCTGCCCTCTTGTCTCACTGTCGCTCACCGCCTCACTCTCACCAAACTCGTTCTGTACGACACACCTCATCTCGGGCCCCATCCCAATTCCTGTACATGCACCGACATGGAGGACGCGCTTGCAGCTCTGCTTGTTTCTGTAACAAGGTTGTGTAGTTCGACAACCATGCACCCTCCCATGCTGGTTCCCCATCCTCTACCCAGTGGTTGTCCGCTGCTTCTCTCTCTCCTGCAGCAGATCGGCTGTACATCCACCATGAGGTGCTGAAGGAGTATAACTCTGCGCACAGAGGCGTCCTGCTGGGTCGACCCCTGCAAGCAAGAACAGCCGCCGCCTGTTTGCCAGCCTGACCACCCAGCCCCGCCCACCCACTTTGTTTGACCACGTTACAACCCCCCCAGACTCTTCATGAACGCAGCACCTGTTTGAGGCTGAGGGTCTCACTGAACTGGGATCAGACCATCAGTGTTTGTCTGCGGACGTTCTGTCCGTCTGTGGAAGCAAAATAACAATAAACCTCTTTTTCCATTTAGTTTGTTTGTTTGTTTGTTGATTCACTGACGATCCAGAAGGGACACATTTGACCCAACAGTACTCTGATGTTATATTGGAGGCAGTCCTGAAATGTTTTAATCGTGGTTCAACGTTCTGAGAAGTGCTGCAGAAATGAAGTTTATTCTTATTA